CCGATGGTCACTCGCTGGAGGCCGTTCTCGAGGAAGTTCCGGTGGTCAAAGATGCTGACCTGCATGGGAATGCGTCTCTTGGAATCCTGGTTGACCGGCCGAGAAATCGGCTGCTCGTGGTCGCCACCGACCTGCTTGGCAATAAGTACAGCGGACTTGCGGCATATGATCTCTCGTCGTGGAAGCGGCAATTTCTCGCTCATCTTAGTGGTCCGAGTAAGTAATCGATCTCCAATCTCGTTTTCGTCTGCGAATTGCAAGGTTCATCGGTAACTCCGCCTCGTGAATTTCAGCAGAAATTTCGTATTAGCGTTTCATTTTTCCGGAAAATAAGATCTCGGTCATCTGTTTTCTTTGTTTTCATCGCTTCAATGCCAGATATTAGCTTATCGGTTTACTGATTCCGTGCAAATGGCGTAATTACCGAGTTCAATTAGGAGGAAAATGAAGAAACGAAGTCAATATATGGCCGGTTGGAAGCCATTAAACCTCTTAACCTAAGCTGAAATATACTGAGTTCAAATATATGGAGTATTGTATTGTTCACTTTCCGATTCACGATGAATAGTTTGCAAGTCAAGTCTTGCTGATCAAAATTTAGTTTAAGCTCATTTGCGTGGTAGAATATTGTGTATCACAGGGTAAGAAGGAACAAACTGACTTCAGCAGTTCAGCTTATGCGGTTGTTGATAATATATGTACTTTTCTAGCTTTTAAGATTCTTGGTTAGGACTACTTTGGGATTAAAATGGAGAAGTAAAATTATGGAATTTTTTAAGCCATTGAAACCAGTTCATCAACATCTATTTTGTTGGTTGCTGCTTGGCTCTAGTTTCTAAGGGATAACAATGATTTTCTCTGGGGAAGTTGTCAATATTCTGCACCCATCTGATCATTGGTTGTAACTCACCTTAACCGAAATGTATTAGCATTTCAGAACTGTTAATTTATAATTGATCTCAAGTTTTATTCTGTCCATTATTAGATGCTCAATTGGAGTTTAATGTCAACAAAGATGAATAGATTGGCTTCAGCTTTTGTAATGGTTGATGATTTCCAGTTATTTAACATTATACATAGTACTAAGGCAAGCCATCCTGAGTTCCTATACATGATTTTTGGACACATTCTTTTCATGCTCGGTTTCAAGCTTTTGATTTGAGTTAATATCAGTTCTATTGTTCTAAGATATGCTTTTATGCTGTGCATTATCTCTCTTTTAAACCTATGCAGATGATGAGAAATCCTTCGCCGATGATGTTACGGTAGATCCCGAAGGCAATGCATATGTCACAGATGCCATAAACAACAAAATATGGAAGGTTGGAGTCGATGGCAAGTTCATATCCATCATCAAAAGCCCACTATTCATTTCAAAGGAGTGGTACAAAAACTTGGTTGGGTTAAATGGCATAGTTTACCACCCAGATGGATTCTTGATAGTTATTCATACATTTAGTGGAAATTTGTTCAAGGTAGACTTGGTCAAGGGAGAGAAAGTTAAGTTGATCAATGTAACTGGAGGCAGTCTTGGGTTTGGAGATGGTCTAGAGCTACTTTCTCCAACCAAGCTTGTAGTTGCAGGAAACCCGGCTGGACGATTTGTGGAGAGCACGGACGGGTGGGAAACCGCTTCTTTGGTGTCAACATGTTCGGGACTGAAGCATCGATTGGCATCGGCTGCAACTGTGAAGGATGGCAGGGTGTACATCAGCCACATGATCGGTATGGGCTATCCGAAGAAGAAGCATGCTCTTGTAGAGGCAGTTTTTTCTACATAGGATGATTTTCTAGGACACAGAACTTGATGTAGGTTAAGAAAACAAAATAAAATTACCTCATTCAATTTGGGTTTGTATTGTATTAGGCTGTGTTATTTTCAATATCTGAGAAGTACTTTGAGCTTTAGAACTAATTTCATGAACATGCTTTTTTTTTTTCCCTTGGAAGATGGATGGTCAAAAGATTTGTGGAAGAAATACATATAAAGAAATGGATTCAAGGACTTTTCTGCTATTCTATGCCAGGATTCACATGAAGAACATTTCAAATTTTCCTCCAATATGGGTGATATTCCAAGTGGGTATGAAGATTGAAGTTTAGATGATCCATCTTAAATGAATTAGACTTTGTATTCAATGGAAAAAGATAAATCCCTTACATCAAATTTTGCCGTAGACTTCTAATTTTATCACATTCAATTCTAGTGAGTATTGCAATTTTTACTCTATATTTGAATTTCGTTGTAGTTGTTTGTTGATTTTAACAAAAAGGTAAGAACTCCCTAAAACTTAGAGTCAAGATTTGTACAACATTAAGCACGATGAATGCACAATGGAGCCCAAAAATCTAATTCTAGTATTGTATTTTCTTTTAAGACCATCAATTTTGTATTAGGTTTGAAAATCTTTTTTAATGATTCTTAAAAGCCAAGGTTTATCCTAAGGTAAAAATTGCAACATTTATTCAAGTTTGAGATAAAAACATTCTAAATTTAGGTTTAGTTTGATGAAATTGAAAGTTTCAGATAAAAATGTATACTTCGCTAGATTTAGGATATGAGAATAACGATTTTAGGTTGCACCAATAATTGAATTATTTTTACTAGTGTTCCAAAATTTAAAATTAATTAGTCAATCCAAACCTATAAAAAAATTGTTTTCAAAAATACAATTTGGTTCAAACCATGGTGGCCACACACCTAAGATTTAATATCCTACTAGTTACCTTGACAACTAAATGTAGTAGAGTCGGATACTGTCCGTGAGATTAGTCGAAGTGCGCGCAAACTAGCTCGAATACTCATCGATCGAGAAAAAAATAATATTAATGAATAGGAGAAGACAAAATTTGTACCTACTTAACAATATTCATCTAATCATATTAAAAAGAAAGGGAAATATATAAATTGTTTTTATGGTATGCTATTTTGTTTTTTTCCTTTTTCCAAATGGTTTTTCTGAGTCATATGTTCTTTTTGTATTTTGTTTAGTTGTAATTTAAATACATAAATATTTTTTTTTATAAAGCAACAGAGTTACATCAGAAAAGTTTCACTATACACCCTAATTCAGAATCTAGAAAGGAAAATAGTTTGGCCAATAAACAATCAGAAATGACATGTTTGTCCAACGAAACAATCTGCATGTTCAAAGAACGAGAAATATGAACAAAATTAATTCAGCCCACAAAACACCTTTCTTAAAGTCACAACATCCTCAATCTCATTCAATACGGTTGGAAGAGACTCTTGGAGGAATCTTATTTTTTATTTGGTATATGTTAGTTTATAATTTCTGTATGTTGTTCCATTTTCATTTATTTGGGTCATGACCATAGAATATAATAGGATAATTTAATGGATAACCTCATTTATACATAATTAAATTAATAGAAAAATAAGTATTAATTAAAATTTTAATGGGTATGAATTTTGGCTCTTTTCCATTGCTATGCCCTCAGCTCATTGTCATGTTGATGGTAGAGTATTATTAGTTGACTTGATGCTCACCAGAACAAGTAGCTTTATGGCATGAGTTCAAATTTTATAGAGATAACCTATCAAGATATTAAAATTCTACTAGTTTTCTAACAACTAAAATGTATTTTATRTAAAATAATAAATGTTGTCGAATTATCTTATAAGATTAGTTGAGTGCAAGTTTAAATAATACTCCCAATATAAAAAGTACGGTAAAATGTTATCATCAATATGACATGACTAAAATATATTTTATACAAAAATTGAAAATTATTATAAGATGTTTAAAAGTTAAAGATTTAAATGTAATAAATAAAAAAGTTTTTAGAAATTCAAATAAAATTGACACTGTTGTCCTAAACTTAATTTAGTGGTCAGGAATTTAGGGGAAAATTGACAAAATAAGCTTCCTGTGAAGCCCTCTTAAGTTTTTTAATCGCTCTCTCAAAACACAAGTTTTCTAGTTGACATCACCTATTTTGCCAAATGACCTCCATTCCTCCCTTTTCTCTTTTTCTTTATTTCTTCTCCCTACCTTCATCTTCCTCCTTTTCCAGATTTTTTTCTTCTTTCTTTTTATTTTCCATGTCTTCCGCAAGCATAAGTTTTTTCTTGTTTACTAAACCATAAAAAAAAAAAAACCTAAATCTCTCACCACTTTTTAAATAGCAGCCTCCATAATTTCCGTGACCTTCAACAATCGTCGGATGCATAAGAGGCTCAGGAGAGGAAGAAAGTTACGATGGGATGGGGAAGGAGATAGAGAGAGAGTCGAATAAGAGAAAGTTGAGAGAGAGAGAATTGAGCGAGAGAGAAAACGAGAGATGAGTGAGCGAGAGTGAGATTGAGCGAGAAACAATTTTAAAAATTGGAATGGAGAGACGAAATCTCAAATTTAAAATACTAAGCATTGAAGATTTTTTTAACTAAAATTTAAAATTATAAAATCGCATTAATTTTAGTATATTCAAATTTGAAATTTAATTTAGATTTGTTTTCTTAATTGTTTTTTTTTCCTACTTAATTATTTGAACGAATCATTTGAAAAATTAACATAAATGTCTTCTTTAATATCTCCCCTAATTTTTTATAATTTAATTAGGTAGTCCTCCCTTAATAGTAAATTTAAAATTTTATCTAATTAGTTGGAAGTATAAAAAAAAAATCCCGTTTTTTCCTTAATCTCTCCCTCATAATATAAATCTGCTCCTTTAATCATACGTTTAAAATTTAATTTAACTCAATTTGGTGGAGTAAAAAAAAAAAAAGAAAAAGAAAACAATCCATTTTTTCCTAACCATCCCATTTTTTTCGTCATTATCACCACTTCGCTCTGTCCTTCTCGATCTCACTCTATCGATGACGTCGCTCTCGCTTTGTCCCTCTCTTTTTCTCTCCTCTCTCTCTTCTCCCCTCCCTCCTCGACGCATTTGGTTTCATGGAGAAGAAGATAGTCCGTACAGGAGGGACGTGTAAAAATCATGGACAAGATCAAGCAAATCTAAGAAATGGAGGAGAGAGAAGAGAGATGGAGTCTGGAACAGAAGAAAAAATAAAGAGGGACAGAGGGACATGAAATGTCATTTGACAAATATGTGATGTCAGCAGTGACTAGAAAACTTGTGTTTTGGAGGGAGCGATTAGAAAACTTAAAGGCACCTCCAGAACGTTTATTTTGTCAATTTTGGAATTTACCTATTCCTATAATAGGCGGTAGATTTAAACTCCAACCTGTCATTTGAATATAAATTTTTTTTCTTATCTTCTCTTCTTATAATATTATTAATTTTTTACTATTGACTATTGACTGTATTTTTATTTATTTTTCTTTTCGATTTTAATTACAAATTTTGAAACCTATCCTTCAATTTATAATAACCAATTTAATCATAACAAGTATATGTGATGTATATATTAATATTTTATATCTTGTTCAATTTTGTAACTAAATACTATATTTGATTATAAATTATCAATAAAACATAATTAAGCAACATTGCTTCAATTTTTTAATTCAAATTATTTTTATCTATCTTCATTATCTTGTTCCAATATTTCTATCAATATCGACATTTTCATGAGTAAGTTAATTAAAGCTTAATTAAACTACAATTAAAGTTTTATTGACTAATTAATTAATTTTTACAATTTATGTGATTTTTCTCGACATTTACATGTCCGCAAAATCAGACCTTGACATTTCCATCGACAACGACATTTCGAGACTTGTTTGCAAATTTACAATGCAATATTTAAAATATATATATATATATATATATATATATATATATATATATATATAATTAAATGACAAAATACATTTTCAATTGGTGAACACATGGACTTGATTTCTATTTTTCAAGATTTCAAAGTTGATACTCAGTGGTTACTCAAGTTTATATTTAAATTCTATTTGATTCATCAAGTTTCAAAAAGTAATATTTTTATTACTATGTTTTGGATTCATGAAGTTTTAAGTAGGATTTTGTTCCTATTTGATCCATCAAAGTTTCAAAAAATGTTCTTTTAAGTTTGAATTTAGTTTGTATTTGATTCCTGTGTTTGGGATGAGAATGAGTTTGACTTAACAAAAAGGATGGAGTGATAATTAAAATGTTGAAGAAGGTTAAATGGAAAGAATAAATTCTTCATTGACAAATAATAATCCACTAATTATATTAACTGCCATATTAGATTTACATAAAATCAATGAATGGTCAACTCAAATTAAGAACCAAATAACTAGGAATTAAATCCACACCCAACCAACTCTATAAGAACTAAATTCAAATTTCTGTGAAGTTTTTCGTTTTAATTAATCCCTCAAATTATTCTCTCTCTTTCTATGATTAGCAAATATAATTCTTATTAGCAAATCCACATAAGCGTTATCATTAAATATGTCCAAAATCAGAATAATAACTCAAATCAATTAATAAGAAACAGCCTACAATCAAATCCCTTTTCAAGAAACCAAATTCATTTCCATAAATCCCCATTCACACGCAATCAACATTTAAAAAATTATTATGTTAAAAAAAAAAAAAAAAAAGTCCTACGAAATCCTGTCCTTTCCCTCCCTTTCATACCTCGTGCAAAATCTTATGGATCCATATTTAGATAGACATTTATTTACAGTTCATTTTTCTAAGAAATTTCAAATTAGAAATTTATTCTCCACGGTGAATCTTCATTTGAATGGTTTAGAATCTCTATTTAAAAGTAGAAATGGTAAAATTTCCTAGAAACATCTCATAATATAACAAATTCTAAAATGTTAAATTTACCATTCAAATTATCAAATACATAAGTCTCAAAACGTGAATACACCACTAGGACTTACAGATCACCTATCATTCAGGCGACGGAGACAATGTCTTCATTCCCTCTCGACAAGGAGCCTAAATGGACATTTTCGTCCGGTAAAAGTAATATCGTACTCTCAACCATGGTATTAAATATCACGTCGAAATGCCGACAATTCCATTTACATTTACATGTATTCATGAATTCGACATCGACATGAATGATAAATCAACATTTATATTATAGTACAAAAAAATCGACAAAATATAAAAAAATACAAACAAAATCTCACTAATACAGGCGCAATATTAATATTAATTATTTTTATAAATATATGATGAAATATTTATGTTTTAAAATATTTTATCTACATTTTTATCTAACATTCCATAGTATTAAAATTTTTATTGGTATCCACGTTTAAAACTCAACTGTCAAATCTTGAGTTATTCCCAAAAAAAAAAATAATAATAATAAAATAAAAAATCCAGGAGCATTTGCGTAGCTGTTATTTTCCCAGATGAAAGAAAAATGGACATTTTTCAAATCTCCATTTTGGTGACGGCGCGGAGCAGTTGAGCTTTAAGAAAACTTCCCACTAACAAACGCCATTTTTCAAAAATAAAAAATTTCCCTTCGTCGTCCTTTTTCGCTGTCACTGCTTCTTTCCCCTCGATCTCTGGTCCGTTTCTGATGTGACATTTTCAATAATTTGTTTGGTTCCAATCTTTTTCCATTTTTCTCGCTCTCACTCTCGTGGGAGATTGTGAGAAAATCGATGGAGCGACAGAGAAGTATTGCCATTAAACCCACCAGATTCTTGGTTTTCACTTTCACAATCTCCTCCTTTCTCGTCTTCGTCTCCTTCATTTCCCTCTGGATCGTTAAGAACTCCCCCGCCCGCCCCGACAGCTTCTTTCTCTTCTTCAATAAAACCCCAATTGCGGTGAGCTTCTTCAGACCCGTCAATCTCCACACCCTTAACGGATTCGGGAGGAACTTCTCTACAAGTGATGCGGTTGCTAATTTGCTCGATGCCCATTTGAAGAAACCTGAAAATGCGTCTGGGTTTGCCGGGATTTCGCTTTCCGGCGAGGAGAGGAAGAGGAACGCCGCGGAGGACGGCGGCGGTGATGGCAATACTACCGCGGTCCGGCCCAGGGGCGGGGAGATGCCGATTAAGGAAGTTGAAGTAGCGATTAGCGAGAGGATTTGGAATAAATTTGAACCCTCGAACAAGACTGTGAGGAACTTCTCTAGAACTGATAAGAAGGCTGAAAATGTTTCTGGGTTTGCCGGGATTCCGGTTTCCGGCGAGGAGATGAAGAAGAACGCGGTTGGAGAGGGGAAAGAAGATGGCGGCGGCGATGGTAATTCCACCGCAATCCGGCCAAGGGGCAGTGAGATTCCGATTAAGGAAGCTGAAGTAGCCATCAGCGAGAGGATTGAGAAGAAATTTGAACCCCCAAACAAGATTTTGAGAAAAGAATCTCATCGGTGTGATTTGACGAAAGGGAAGTGGGTTTTCGATGAAACTAGTCCACTGTATTCGAATAGTTCATGCCCTTTTATAGATGAAGGATTCGATTGCGAAGGAAATGGAAGATTGGATTTGAACTACAAGAAGCTGAAATGGCAACCCCAAGATTGTGGTTCTTACAGGTCTGTTCATCTTCTTCTTCTTCCCTTTTTGCTTAGTTTTGCCAAAGAAGTCCAAAAAAATGGAAATGGTTTTTCTGGATTTATGATTGTGGGGTTTCAATAAAGGTTCAATGCCACAAAAATGCTGGAACTGATAAGAGGGAAGAGGGTGGTTTTTGTGGGAGATTCAATAAACAGAAACCAGTGGGAATCTATGCTCTGTATGCTGTTTTCCGCCATTAAAGATCCAAGGAAGGTTTATGAGACTCATGGTAGAAGAATCACCAAGAAGAAAGGGAATTACAGTTTTAAGTTTGTGGTAATTCATTCTACTGCAAAAAGTTGTTTCTTCTTGGTAGATTTATGAGTTGTTGTTGCCATTGTTGATGTCTGATGGTTTACGTTTGAAGGATTACAAATGTACTGTTGAGTTCTACGTGTCACATTTTCTTGTTCGTGAGGACAAGGCGAGGTTGGGACGGAGACGAGTTCAGACGTTGCGAATCGATGCGATTGATCGTGGCACGTCGAGATGGCGGGGAGCTGATGTTTTGGTTTTCAACTCTGCTCATTGGTGGTCCCATTACAAAACAAAATCTGGGTTGGTTTCTTTTTCATCCTCAAAGTTCTATAAGAAGCAATGCTTATTGATTTTGACTGGTTCTACTGGACTTCTTAGGCTATTTCTATACATTTCAAGATATATTTGACCATGTCAATGCTACTATGATAGGACTCTTCATGCCTAATGCTTTAGTATACGTAAATTTGATCAATCGTCTTGTGTTTGTATTGCACTTCGATTTTAAGCTTTTTAAACTTGGATTTGCGAATTTCCTATTACGATGTTGACCATCGAACGAGTTGCGAAGCAAATTGTCTAAAAATCTTTCAAGAATCGTTTCCAAAACTAATGTCAGCTGGTTGTACTACAGGGTCAATTACTACCAAGAAAGAGACCAAGTTCTTCCTCGACTCGATGTAAATATTGCTTTTAGAAGAGCTCTGACAACTTGGGCATCATGGGTCGATAAGTATATCGATTCAAAGAAAACCCGAGTTTTCTTTCGAAGTTCTGCGCCATCCCATTTCAGGTACTTGCACTTCCATCAGTTTCAAAGTCAAAATTCTTCTCAGTTTGCTGAGTTTCATATGATGTTTATGAATAGGGGAGGGCAGTGGAATTCAGGTGGGCATTGTAGAGAAGCCACAGAGCCTCTGAATCAAACATCAAGCTTGGATCACCCTGAGAAGAATCTCATTGTAGAAGATGTGATAAATCAGATGAGGACTCCAGTTACTTTGTTGAACATCACGGGTTTATCGGATTATCGGATCGATGGACACCCGTCCCTTTACGGGAAATCATTTGTAAATAGGCAGTCTTCAAGAGGAGGTGAAGATTGCAGCCATTGGTGCTTGCCTGGTGTTCCTGATGCATGGAATGAATTGTTGTACTTGCACTTGAAATATAGAGAAATGGTGAGATGAATTCTTTTGACAATGTGTATGTAGAATCATTTGATTCGGTTCGGTTTTTGGTTTCGATTCTATTAGGTAGGTCTTAAACCAACCCCACACTCGAGCACTGAACTAAAGTTTTCAATTCTCGGTTGACGCCGAGGAATCCCAGGCTTCAAGGCAAGTGATTTAACCCTCTACATTCTAGTTTCTAGCTTACAAGTTAAAAAGAATGTGGAAAAAGTTGTGTTCATATGACGAAATGAATATTTGCCCGACTATATTGTACATCTACATTTGATTCCGAAAGCTAGGCAAGAGAAAACAGTGAGAAGAAAACAAAATATTCTCTCTGTATTAATATGTGAAGAAAATCATTTCCAATTTCATTTTTCAACGTGGGAACTAATGGCTTGATTTGCCAACCAAGAAGGAATAAATGAACTGGTCTGATTTGATCCGTTTGTTTTGCTTGTTTATTTATATATATTTATATGCAAGGAAAAATATAACCATCACAGTTACTATGCTCTTATTTAGGAGTCTTCTCCGCCCCCATTTCAATTCCCATCCCATGAAATTCTGCTATATTTTGCAGGGATAGGTGAGAAATTCATAAAAGGCATTGGATTCTCTAGGGAAAATTATCTCCCGCTTATAGTTATTGCTATTTTAAATAATTTCTCGATAAAATAATTTTTTAAAAGAAAATGCTTAAATCCTCGCGGAGAATTCTCACCTAATAAAAATAATAGACGAAGAACCGGGTGCATACCCTATCCATCCCAAGATAAAATGTTCACTTTATCCATGGAGCCTAAGCGAGGATTACTTGCCCCACCCCTACTCAGCATCGATGATATGCCACAATTATAAGTTAAATTAATACTAATTTAGAAAAACAAAACTAATTATAAGCTAATTACAAATCAAAATTCATTAAAACCACAACTGAAAATGCTAAACCAACCAATCCAATCCTAAACTAGTAATAAATTTTGGTCGAACTTCCTATTCGATTTCTAGATGTTCTTCTCACATATTTGCCCAAGGAAAAAATAACAATAAAGTTGTACTAAGACCTATTAAATTCTTTGCTAGGCCCACATAAACACATTTTTCTTGGGCGATACCCATCTTTTCACAGTCTTTTAATGCATCGTCAAAATATTAACTCAAGAAAAACCATCCTATTATGAAAGACACAAATTTCCCTTTCAAAAAGCATCATAAAGATACAAGTTCGTTTGCCCGACTTGCACAAAATGATACTGAATTTAATATATAATTACGTAATGTTATACATTATTTTCCACAGTTTATTAAGCTTCATATCCTTTCGTGAAATAATACTATGCATATTAACATGTATAGAAGTTTCTATAACTTCTTAAAAGCACCCTTATTTGACAACGACTTCTATATACTCCTACTAGGTAAAGCATGGGGGCATGGTTTATGAGTCCAGACCTTTTCAATGGCAAGTCAATGAGATTGGTGTTTCTTTGCTCTCCCTTGGGAAGCTGATGCATCATCTCTCTTAGAACCTTCGGGTTTTCGAGCCCACGCAGGCGCTTGATCGGGTCCATAGCGGTAATCATAGAAAAGCTCCTCACTAGCTTCAATATGCTCCTTGGCAAAAATGCCTACTCGATGATCTCCAGCTACCAACATTACCTGTAGAAGCCAGAAAAGAACCATTTTTAATTTCTCTTTTTTTCCTTATAAAAGCACAATAAGAATTATCAATTTCGGAGTTCGTGGGAGGTTCTTGAAACTTGCTTACCTTTGCGTAACAGTTGGGGTTCGACGAATGATTTGCGAACTTTAGCTTGTCGCCTTTACGATATGCATCTAGAACATACTGTGAAAATAGAAAGCTTCTGACATTGACAGAAAAAACCATATTGCAAAGATTTGAATGATAGAATTGGATGTTTTGATATCAGGTCAAATTGTGACTGGTCAAACTTTTAAGGTAAATTCGATCATTTAATTCATTCTTGAAACATTATTGTGAAACAAAATTTTGAACTTTCAAGCTGAAGATTGCATGAAAATAGGGCACTCAAAATGTTATTCTAATTTCTATCCTGGTAGGAAGTGAAATTTTGCACTAAGGAGTTGTCATATTTTATGAGTCATCTGCCAGCCAAAAACTGCATCTAAAAAACCTATATGATCCATTCAAAATACTAAAAGAAGCTCATTTACCTGATCATTCAAGTCGAAAAGGAAAGAAGAGTTTGCACGATCGTAAATCTTCCCACGCTTATCTGCTTCACGGTGTGAGATCAATTCCCCAGTATATTCTCCCAGATAATCATTCTTGTTGACAGAGTTCTGAAATCATATTTCGCTCCTGGTTCAGAATATTATTTAAAAACAAGAATAGAAAATAAAAACTAGCGTCTGACCTTCAAAAACGCTCCCCATCCAGCTACGTCAGACTTGGCCAAGAGAATCTGGAAATTGAGAAAATAATACATAATATATGTCAAAATCACAATTCTTGAATTATTTCCCAGAGATTGCAGTTGTTGAGACTTCGAATTTCTCACTCTCTGCTGTTGCCTTAGGAGGAGTCTCATATTACCACACTGGCCATCTCCCTGTCTTGGTGGTTCTCCCAATGAACCTTCACCACAGCTACGTACATCGGATATATAAGGCATCATCAGGGAGCAGAAAAGCTATTTACGACAAGATAAACAGCAGATGCTAAAAATCCTATAACACAACAAGTTCCATCGGACCAATCTTGGACTGTGAATAGCCAATTCGTGAGTTCATGCTTAAAAATATTCATGCTTCCTACAGAAATAAGTGCAACAGGTTGATGGGTTGATCTTAGTAGATTTTAAAAATGTATGAACTTCCTATGGCAACAATGTACTAATAATACGGTTTCTGGAAAAGAAGATATAAAATTCTGTTCTTGGAAAATTAACTAACCGACATGAGCATAGCACAATAGGCTAAGACTTACTTACTAAAGGTCCGACCCCTTGAGCTAAAAAAATAATAATAACAAACTTTGTGTAAATAATATATCTAAAAGTGCGCGCTCTCATGCGGAATACTATGGCCCCCAAAAAAAAAATCCCCGAACCAAGATGGACGAGGAATGTCCTAATCTTAAGTTGCTAGCAAAGTTCTGCATAGATGTTCATCAATACATATGAACAAATGCATATCCATCTGAAGTTGAATACATGCGTTTGATACTCAATACCTGACCCAGCAATTTCGGCATACATCAGGGTCACATTCACGTCCAGCTGCAAAACATGGGCATTGCCTACTTCTGCATTGACTCTTGGCGCAGTGACATCCCCTGAATCTATTTTTGCAACTTTTTGAGCACCTAAAATTTAAATACAGTTTCAACTATCGCCTTTCCAGAAAGAAATTCTCATTCATGTCCACTATGAAAAATATAGTGGGTATTGAGTGAGCTGCAAATAGAGTTAAACATAAGGGGAAAAAATTTTATGAACTAAGCGACCCATTGGAAAAATCATACCCACAATATTTTTCACAGCAGGTCCCATTATGAAGACAAGGGCATTGCTTTCCACACGAAGACAAGCATCCACATGGCGTATATTGTTTACAAGACTGGTTTTTTCCATCAGCAATCCTTTTCAAAAATGATGGATAGCCAGCGGATTTCCAAGAATATTTAAGTTTGCGTGTTTTTCCTCGTTTACGGAGTAGCCGTGATCTCGTTCGCATGTCCTGCTCCTAACACAAGGAAGAAGAGATGACGAAAAACATTTAGATTAAATTTTGATGTTTTTTTCAGACACATAGAAACAAGATGATGTGATAAAGACGAGTTCTTCATTGTGAAATTACGAAAATTTCCAGAAATAACAATTGTCACATGCGTAGACTTCCTTAAATGCACGATTAATAAAATATTAAAGAAAAATGCTAGAATCAAGTAAGCTAGTAGCAACTTTCATTTATATGGTCAGTTTTTCACTTCACTTCATCTTCTACTTTTCTTTCAGTGAAAGCCGCTATAATTCACTTGATTCCAACATTTTTCTCTTATATTTTATTAATCTTGCATTTAAAGAAATTTACACACGTGAAACTTGTTTATTACTGATTTTTAACCACAACAATAACGCAATGTGCAAATTGATTTAATTGATACAATTATTAGTTTAAGGTTTTAATTGCCTGCATTGTTTAGGGGTATAAATTGATTTTCTTTTATTTATGTGAAGTTTACCGTATAGTCAATATCATCTTTTCCATTGTCATCTGTATTTGAACTTGGCATGCTGTTTGACCTGTGCAACGTTGAAGCTCCACCATTGTGCATGTAATTGAATACCTCCATGCAAGTCTTCAATCCAGAGAGTAAGTTTCTAGATATGAGGCAACTACAACCAAAAATTTAAATATAGAAATGAAAAAAGTCTCGAGGAAGATAATCACACTAATATGCAACTGCTATATAAAATAGAATTGAGTTCCATTTAGAGAACAAATATAAACATGAATCTGATTGTGCATGATATTGTCTGATAATGGCAGATTTTATTTCAGAGTAGCTGATTAATTAATTGATCGAGCTCTGTACATATAGTCAAAATAAGCGTATAAGATATATAGCATATTAAGTTTACTGTACATCCATACACCTGAAAGTCATGCAGGGAGATTAGCTTCTCAGGATCTCCCTAGACTCTAGGCCAATATCAAATTATACTGGATAATATCAAGTCCCTTTCCTTTCCAAATTAATTACAGCTTTTTCCTAATTTATGGCAACTCCATCCTCATTTCTTGACTCACACTTCTCTTCTTTCTGCTCTTTCCTCCTTATATGTTTATATGTTTTCTACTGAATCTGAATCGTATGGTAGATAGTTGTAGGATACATCTCTCCACAAATACAATAACAGCTTATCAATGCTTCAAAGGGAAAAAGAAAAAATCATATGCACATTGATAAATAGAAAGCTTATCATTTAGAAATTACAGTATCCTATACCACAAATACCCTTCCATTAACAAACATGTAAACGTTGCACCGGACAGCTGAAAACTCAATGCATTGGACTAAGAAATGACTGTTCATTATTATGAAATAACCAACTAGGGGCAAGTGACTGTTTCCATGGTCAAATGGCACTTTAACTACCCAATGAAATTGTAATTTCTCATAGCTAAACTAACGCAATATTATAAATCTATAGTATTACCAGCACCAAATGTAGTCATGAAGATATATAAACATCTTCAGCAAAATTTTAAGGACCTACTAGTAATTTAAAGTTATAAAGGGTGTTCAAAACCATCTTGTATTCATAAGCATCTTCAGTAAGTCAATAGACTCACCTGTTTCTTCCAAATATCTCTATTCCTTTCATGTACAATTCTTTTTCCATGAGCTTCCACTCAGAACGTCCACACGTTCCTTCAACTTGTTCTCTGACAGTACCAGCTGACAGCTTTGATGTTGACAACTCTTTGACTTCCATAGTGTCATACCTGCCAGTGTCCTGCAAATAATCACATGAAGCAATATCCGGGGGAGAAATTTTCTCCTTAGCTTGTTTGGTGGCGTCACTCAAAGATATTTCAGTATTACTTAGAAGTTCATTTTCTTGAAGTCCATGGACATCCTCATGACTACATTTGGTGCTGGTAATACTACCGAGTTCAGGGATGGTATCAGCAGGGGCATTTGCAACGTCCAGAGGGACCGACATCATTTTTTGTTTCTTGTAATCTTGAGAATCACCAGAAATTAATTCAGGATCATTTGACACAGAATCAATATTTTGGTGCTTAGCCCCAGTTTCAGGGTTGATTGCAGTCCCAATAGATGCATCTGAGTTTAAGCCTACGGCCGACTCAGACACAGAAACACCTTCAGAAGTGATGCATGACAGTTTTCCAGCAAGACATCTTTCATCTTGTATGATGTCAGCATCCGCACGAGCACTTGACTCTTCAGCTTTGGATGATCTTGGTCTTTTGTTTCTTTGTTCTGGAGTCTTGCTCTCTGTTCGCTGCAAGTAATGGATATTTGAAAGTAACAATCAACAACAATATTGCAGTATTTGGCAAGTAATAGATGCATATAAGCAAGAGGCCAAGCAAAATATACATGGAATAGAGTAGGTGCTAAATAATTTGAGTAGACATTTGCTCAGGAAATTCAGCATGCCATCAACTATTTTTCTTATTTATGTATCTTTCAAAAAATAAGCATATCAGACTCCAACATGTATGCAGAACACTCGTTCCTTTTGTTTACTAGGTAAAGATGTTTTCTGAAGTAACCGAATCATTGAATTGTATGAGTAGGACAGAAATTTTATAAGGTCAAAAAGTAGTTTATGCAAGAAAATATCAAGAGAACTTTTACCTTAAGGAAACATTGGTTACTGCAAGGTGTTCTTTCCTCCTCGTGCTCAGGCCAATAGAGCAGCTTTTCACTCTGTGAAGCAAGGTTCCCAGTAAACTCATCGATCAAAAAAATTCACAGAAGCTACGACTGGAACCAAGAACTGTAGACTCAGTTGCTTACCGGATAGATTAATGATTGAGAACATCCATGCAGTCGGCAATCAAACAGCTGTTAGTTAGATGCAAAACAACAGATGAGCAAGAGTACGATCAGAAATCTGATAGAAACCAAATAGCTAAGATAGATTGAAAGATAAAAATCTATTTGATATATAAGGCCATATAATATTAATTATTATTTATTAAACTACATTTTTAGTCCCTAAATTATACTCGCTTCCAATTTACTCTCGTCTTTTTAAGTTTATTTTTGAAAGTTTTTAGTTGGTATTAAATTGGTCTTTACTCTTTACTATTAGGAGAGCTACCTGGTGTTTTAGTAGGTGTCTATCATATGTGAAGCGGAAGTTAGCCCAATTGAACTTTAAGGTAACTAACAACCTTACGGTAAGAATATATATTTGATATGAATTAAAAATTAAGGATCAAAATAGAACTTCAAAACCACTGGGGACAAAATGAGAAACAAAGTCAAACCATAGGCATTTCATTGGTTCATAAGAATAAGTACCAAATTAATCAAAGATATCAAGAAAAACGCTATCCTCGTAAGAAGATTTTTTCTGAAACATTGCAATACATAAAAAAAACGAATGAAATAGAGTCAGCAATCATTATGATTTGCTTGTTCTAAAAAATACTTCTCCCCTACTCCCCCTAGAGGTCGTAGAGAGTTCCAAATTTTAATTTGTTTAAATTCTCGGAATAGAAAAGATATCCATAGAAATACAGCATTTCAATGCAGGGGCCAGAATTAATCTAACCATTATTGCTTAAACAAATAATGCCTGAGAACTGAAAAACTAAAAAAAATTCCTTACCATACAGCGACGACAAAAGAGGTTATCAAAAGAATCTAATGTCGAACTGAGGCTCTTGTATAAAGATATTCCCTTGTTAGACTTAAATTCTTCCAGAACTTTAGAACTTGATTCTGTTTTGTAATTCCTTTCTTTAAGCACATTATACCGCTCCTGAAAATCTCATAAAAGTTACTATCCAAGCAATAGACAAGGATGGGTGCCCCAAATTTAGTTTTTAGACTGTGCTAATAACCTTATACATACATACATACATTACAAATATGCATAATACGTATGTATGTATGTATGTTCAGCACTACTGCGAACAGTGTGCTTCACCATTATTACCTGGATTTCTGAAGTGGTACAGCCAATAGAATGACTTAAAATTTGAAGTACATCCTCGCCTACTCCATGCTCCTGTATAATAATCCTGAAAAATGCAACATATAAAAAGAATTGACTTTAACTGCTCTACAGAGGTTCTAAAAGAATAAATAAGCAAGCATAGCCAGTTCAACTCATTATTAATATATTTTGCTCATATATTGCCACCTCTCCACCGAAAGTATCACACAACAGGTCAAGATCATCTGGTCTCCAAAATATAAATGCAACAACAATCTAGAAATATAATAAATATAGGAAGAAATATATTAATAATTGTAGATATTGGATCCTGAAATTTGCTTCTCCAGGGATGAAATGACCATCACAGATTCACAGTGAAGAAAAAAATGCTATAGAAGCCACCTCTGAATAATTGAGCAGGTATATGAAGCACCAGAAATACAGTTCATATTAAAACATGCATTGCAAGCAATATCTAATTAAGCTCACCATAAAACACGGTCTTCACCCTCAGAAAACTCGTGTTTTTCTTCCTCTGGTTCTGCAAGTTCTTCCTCACTGTCACTACAGATCAAGGCTTCACTGCCATGCTGATCATAGTAAATACGTCTTCTTCCAACTACTGACTGGTCTTCAGCCATTCTCTGATTCCTGTGCTGTGAGAGACAAATTTGAGATAGATATGATAGATATACAACAACAAAGTACTTATTCATTACTATTAGATGCAACAGTATATCCTTCTTTCCTTCTTGGAAAACAGGGAAATTTTAAAAAATATCTATAACTAAACTCTAGAGCCAAATTTATGAAAAGATGAGCAAAGGATCTGAAACAATGCTATACCTGTCCAAAAATATCCACGTTGTGTAAGGGGGCAACTTCTCAATGTATGGGAGTTTAATACTGATGGAGTATAATACCTCTTGATTGTTAATGTAGTCTTTATCTCCAGCACCATGAGCAATCCCAGATAACTTACATAGGGGAAGCTTCATCCTTGAGAGAAGCATTTTTCCGTTCCTATTTTCTTCTATAAATGGTACAGGATTTCTAGAGGTTGCAGACATAACCTGAGCGACATTACTTGCAAGCTTCTGCGCATTGTTCTCAAGCTTTTCCTGCACAAGCATCATATGAATTTAGTTTTCTTGGATAGGCCAGTTGGGTCAAAACATAAGCTCGAAAGACTTGCTTATCAGCTTGTTCATTACTAGATGATCAATATGGAGGGCAGTTTACAAGTTCGGGCCTGAACTTTTAAGGCCGTGTCTACTCAGTCTCCATGCTTACAAAGCTTATAATAGGTTCTAAACTTTTGAGGTTAGATTTATTTAGTCCTTGAACTTAGTTGCTAAGTCCCCAAAATTTCAATTTATTATCCAGTAGATCCTTGTTATTAATTTATTTCACACTTATATGGCACACTAACCAATATTATTTAAGAATCATGTGGCACGTTGATTTTGGACGTAATTCTTAAATAACAAATTTAGAGTGTCATATGAAATTAGACATAAAATTAAAAGTTTATGCACCTATTTGAAACTTTTTAAACTACAGTGACTGGGTGGACACAACCACTTAAAAATTTAGACACTTACCGTAAACTTTTTAAGGTACAATTTAGAGTGTCATATGAAATTAGACATAAAATTAAAAATTTATAAACTTATTTGAAATTTTTTAAACTAAAGTGACTAGATAGACACAATCACTTAACAGTTTAGACACTTACGGTAAACTTTCTAAGGTACATGAATTAAATAAACATAATGATCAAACTTATAATTAAAAAAAGAAAAAGACTTCTCTGCAATTTACCTTTACTGAAACAACTCTCTCTGCTTGAATTTGCCTTTTGAGCGTATTTACCTGGTTCGTCAAGCACCCAAAAACACTAGTCGGTTGCTCTCCCTCTGAAACCTGTCAATGAATGGGGAAAAATACATAGCCGTACAGTCATATACTCAGAAACCAAATGAAACAAATGGAATTCTCAAATAAAAATCCCGGATCACATCAATCAATTCACCGTTCGGGTGCATCAAATTTTCGCGGGAAAATCATGGGATACAAAAACCGTTACGATTCCGAAGCATACAAAATTAAGAAACGAAGAAATCCCAAAACTCCAAACAAGAACTTCCTCAGCACCCGAATTCCGGAATCTCTAGCACAAGGATCCCAACCGATTTCTTTAAAATTTAAAAGCAACAAAGGAATCAATCATCAATTGCTTGTTTAAATGATCGTCAAAAGAAGGAAGAAACAGTCCACGATGGAGAGGAAGAGGGGAAAAGTAAAGTGTTGGAGCGAGAGAGACTGACAGTGAATTTGGCGTCGGAATCGATTGGTGTGGACACCATGGCTGGCGCATTGGGTGTGGTCTGCAACGGAATCGAGGTTGAGGAAGAAGAAACCTGAAGCTCAAGCTAGAGCGTAGACCTGAGTAACTCTGAAATGGACACCTACACAACACAGTAACGTGGCTCCACTCAGTAACGGGGAATTCTGGACGACTGGGAGCACTGAAATTTCATTAAATTTTATATAATTTTATTTCACACTCCCAATTAAGGCAGAGCCTCGATGTGGTTTTACAACCTAATCATTGGTTTTCTTTTTCCAATTTAATCAATATTATTTTAAACAAAAAAAACTTACCTCTTCAAAATTCAACACCACATTTTTCTTGCCAAAAGGAACGTTATTCAGCTTGCATTTCATGTTTCTCCTCCCTCTAAGTACCCCTCTAAGTACACAATTGATTGATTGCATTGGGAGATCAATTACACAATTGATTGATTGCATTGGGAGATCAATAACAACAACGTGAGAAACAAGAATAAAAAATGAGTGAGTTAATTTTTTAGGTCTCTTTATTTTTTTAATATGTATTTTATCAATATTTTTATTATTTGTTTTTTCTCCTGATAAAACGATTGATGGAGGGTCTGCATAAATTCATATGTCCTATCATATCTTCTCTTCAAAATTTTTGATCTACAAATTTAATTGCTAGCTAGAGGTAAGTATTATTTTTTAATTTTATCCTGAATTTACAATTTGCGATTTCTTTAAAAAGAAAAGAAAACATAATTATTTGGGTTTTTTTTTAATATGGTTATAAATGAAACTTATTTTAAAAATATAGTTGTTTAATTAAAAATATTAAAAATATTGTATATTTTGAAACTTATTTTAAAAATATAGTAGTTTTAAAAAACTGAAAGTTGGTTGTCTCTTCAAGAGACGACCATTTAGACGTGGCGTCGGCGCCACGTAAATTTTTTTTAAAATTTGAACGTGGTCGTCTCTAAAAGACGACCATGTGGGATGGTCATCTCCAATCGGTTCATTTATGGAAAAAAAATATAATTTTTTATATTATATATTATTTAGGAATGGAAGAGATATTAGGGTAGCAGTACACCCATTACATCAAAAGATTTTTTACCTTAAAACTACTAAATAATATATAATATAAAAAATTATATCTTTCTTGTTTTCCAGTAATGAACCGACCGAATAGTTGTCTCTTGAAGAGACGACCCACCCAAAGAGACGACCACGTTCAAATTTTTAAAAAAAATTACGTGACGTCCAATCTAAATGGTATCTCTTATAGAGACGACCGACCTTCAGTTTTTTTTAATAATTAATATTGACTTTTTCTTATAAATTGTCAAGGGGCAACCCTCGTTCCCTCTCCACTTTGACTTTAATTGATTTTTTTCTTTTTTTTTTGAAAGGGACCTTAATTCATTTGAAAAAGACGTGTCAGCAAATGACATAAGAAAGCGGATAAATATCAAGAAAATAGAGTTGTAGTCTTTCTCAAAAAAAATGTAGTCTATGAAATGAATTCAAAACATGCATGAGTTAATTTATTTTGTCTAACTATTTACATTTTCTTTTCTTTTTTCTTTTTGTTATTTGTCTGATAAATCACACTAAATTAATCAATTTTTTATTTATTTAATAGATACATCTGATTTTGGACAAAATTTTAAAATAATCTAATTTTAAAAATAAATTATAAAAATAATGTTAGTTTAAAATAATAATGTTAGGTTTTTTAAACTATTGACAAAAATATGTTAGGTCAAAGGAGAGGTAAAAACTCAACTGCGTTCGTGAATTTTCGAATATGGAAAATCAATTAAACCCTTACCTTTTGCATCATTCGTTTGGTCTGGCTACTTACTCAACAGCTCAGAGGGGTTAATAACTATAATTCATGGAGTCGTGCAATGCTAATTGCACTTTCAGCAAAAAACAAGGTCGGATTTATCACAGAACTATTGACAAGCCAAAGGATAACATGCTGTCTGCTTGGAAATGCAACAACGATGTCATTATTTTATGGATAATGAACTCTGTATCTCGTGACATTGCTGCTAGTCTCGTCTATTCAGATTCAGCGAGTGACATATGGAATGAACTTCGAGATCGTTTTCAACAGAGTAATGGACCGAGAATTTATCAATTACGAAAGGAATTTGTTACTATAGAGGCTTACTATACAAAACTAAAAACTGTTTGGCAAGAGTTGAGCGAATACCATCTTTCGAACGCTTGTACTTGCGGAGGTTTGAAGCAAGTTTTGAATCATTTCAATTCTGAATATGTCATGATGTTCCTAATGGGACTCAATGAATCCTATGCCGGAGTTCGGGCACAAATCTTGTTTATGGATCCTATGCCTCCTATAAATAAGGTATTCTCTCTTCTAATTCAAGAGGAAAATCATAGGTCTGTTCGTAACATGATCTTTTCTCCAGATTCAATCGCACTTGCTGCTAAGGAAGTATCAAAACGGCCTCAAAATGATCGATTCCGTAAAAAAGAGTTTCAACGCCCTTTCTGTACACACTGCGGGATCAAAGGACACATTATTGAATGTTGCTATAAACTTCATGGTTATCCACCAAGATATAGACAACGCAGCCCTACTCCAACTTCGTCGAATTCTATATCGACTTCTCCTGCTTTATCTTCAGCAGATAAACAAATTCCATCTTAGACCAGTCTTCTAATTGCTCCTCTTAATCAGTCGGCTTTCTTTGCAAGCTTGAGCACTAGTCGATATGGTCAACTAATAGATCTTCTTCACACACATTTATCTGCTGCGAAATCTGAAAGTATTACTGCAATGTCATCCGTGTCTCATGTGGTAGGTACCTATTTCTTTGTTTTATCTGCTCGTTCCCAATCTGATTGTTGGATCATTGATTCTGGAGTCTCAAGTCACATATGTCATTCCAAAGAACTTTTCCACAATCTACTCTGCACTTATAACACATCAGTAATTCTTCCAACGCTCACTCGCGTCAGTGTTGATTATGTTGGAGATGTGTGTATTTCAGCCGGTTTTATACTGAGAGATGTTCTTTTTTGACCATAAATTTACATATAATATGCTGTTTGTCAGCTCCTTACTTGTTTCTGGTGCATACTCTATTATTTTCTCTTCTAGCTATTGTCTCATTCAGGACAAGTTACAATTGAAGATGATTGGTAGGACTGTGTGCTTGAACAGATTATATTTGCTGTCGTGTTCCTCAAATGCTTTCACCAATAATACATATGTTGTCTGTAAGGTTTCTACAACCATTCGTCATCATCGTTTAGGATATCTATCTCCTAAATGTTTAGATTTGTTGAAAGGAACTTTGAACTTTTTTTATTCATGTCATGGTTCTTCTCCATGCCTTATATGCCATTTAGTTAAGCAAAGACGTCTTTTGTTTCCTTCACAAAATAATGTGTTGATTCTATTTTCGACTTAATATATTGCAATGTATGGGATCATTTTCATACACCCTCATATCATGGTCATTCGTATTTTTCGACTCTAGTTTATGATTGCTCACGATTTGCCTGGGTTGATCTTATGAAGCAATCTGATGTTTTTATTATTATCACGTTTTTTTAAACTTGTTGAGACGCAATTTTCTAAAGAAGTGAAGGTGTTTAGATCAGACAATGCTCTTGAACTACAATTCACTGAATTTTTTGCCTCTACAGGTATTATACATCAGTTTTCTTGTGTTGAGCGCCCTAGCAAAATTTCGTAGTTGAACGTAAACATCAGCATTTATTGAATGTTGCTCGTGCTCTGTTTTTTCAGTCCCGAGTACCTATCAAGTTTTGGAGTGATTGTATTTTAACTATTGCGTATATTATTAATCGTACTCCAATGCCATTATTGTCGAATGTTGATCCTTTCACAGTATTATATCATAAGCCTATGGATTATTCATCCTTGCGGGTTTTTGGTTGTTTATGTTATGCTTCAACATTGAGTTCTCATTGCTGAAAATTTGATGTTCGTGCGACTGCTTGTGTTTTTCTATGCTATCCACCGGGGGTCAAAGGGTACAAACTATATGATGTTGTCCAAAGACAGATTTTTATGTCGCGGGATGTTGTGTTCCATGAAGCATATTTTCCTTTTCACTCTATTTTTACTTCGGACACATCTCTGGTAGTTGAGTTTTCTGATTTTGTACTCCCCTACCCTTCACCGAACATGGCTCTTACTGACCCTATGGGATTTTCTAATATCACTACCTCATCCGTACCCTTGAACGGTCCACTTTCTGGTGATGAGGACACTGCTGCTAATACCATTAATGTTGATATTAATTCACCTACTAGGTCGGTTGGCCATAATTCTTCCATTAGTGATATTCTTTTACCCAATACTTCTTCTCATGGTCTCCCACTAGTAGCTTCTGATACACCTAATAATTTAGCTACTGCCTTACTGACTCAATTGTGCAGCCTTTTAATGTGCAGCCATTTGAACCTTCTACTGAGCTTCGGCGTTCTCAACGTGCACGCTACCCACCTGGTTTTTTACGAGATTACCATTGCAATCTCTTATCTTCTTCTCCAGCTATTTTTGGGTCTTTCATTCCCCATCCTCTTGAGAATTATCTTTCATACAAAGACTTCTCAGCTGCACATCGTCAAACTCAAAGTCATTGCTGAGTATAAACCCTGTTTTTTTCATGAAGCTATTAAACATTCTCACTGGAAGCAAGCTATGGATGACGAGAGCGCACAAATACTTAGAGTTTGGTACTGTTACCCTCTAGTCATCATACAATTAGCTGTAAGTGGGTCTACCGAGTTAAATATAATTCCGATGGTTCTATTAATCGATATAAAGCACGCCTCGTTGCCAAAGGTTACAATCAGTTGGAAGGGATTGACTTTTTAGATAATTTCTCTCCGGTAGCGAAAATTCTCACTGTTAAGGTTTTCTTAATACTATCCGCTTCTTTTGCTTGGCCGGTGGTACAAATGGACGTTAATAACGCCTTTTTAAATGGTGATTTGTTTGAAGAGTAGATATGTCGTTGCCTCTAGGTTATTATTCAGCTTTCATGTCATCTAGTCGGCCTTTGGTCTGTCGTTTAAACAAGTCAATTTATGGACTCAAACAGACGTCCAACAATGGTTTTCTAAGTTCTTCAGTGCCTTTCTTGCTTTTGGTTTTTCTCAATCCAAGGCTGATTATTCATTGTTTACTCACGGATCGAGTACTACTTTTGTGGCTTTACTTGTGTATGTCGATGATATTCTTATTATCGGACCTTCTCCTGCTATTATTGCTTCTGTTAAAGCATTGTTATGTTCTCATTTTCAATTGAAAGATTTGGGTCATGCCAAATATTTTCTTGGTTTGGAGATCTCTCGGTTTTCTCTTGATCCGACCTGGGAGGGCACGTTTGAGGTCAAGGGCATAGTCCGACCTGGGACGTACGTATTGGCCGATCTGAAAGGAGACGTCCTCGCGCACCTGTGGAACGCGGAGCACCTGAAGCGTTATTATCCTTGAAATGCCAAAAGGGTTTTCAATGGATCTGTAAACACTGTTTCAAAAGAATTATGATCGGAATAAATGTGATGATTTAATTTCATGATTCCGAGTTCGACCAGAAATTAAATGGGGGCCACGGACTCCCACGCGATCACATTCCAGCAGTCGGTTAAAATTCAATCCTCCAAAACCTAAGGGTACGAGGTGCGATGCCAAAACCACTGATGAACTTAAAATTCAAACCTTCAAGGTAAAGGGACGATGTGAAAAGTTCAAAATGATCAAGTCTCTAAACCTGAGGGTACCATGTACGATATGAAGAACAACTACAGACTTAGATTATTAGCCTTTTAACGTTTTTAAGTCAAGGGTGCGATGTTAAAAAATCCAGAGTTGGTGCAATGCATTGAATACTAGACAGAGATTCGAATTCAAAATTTCAAGTATTTTTTAAGGCGCGACCTCAAAAGTACGAGGTGCGAGGTGACATTAGCTTTAGC